CTGATTTTGTTTGCTTCTGTATCATTTATTTCTGTTCTAATGTTTATTAATTCCCTTCTTCTGCTAGCTTTAGGCTTCATTTGTTGTTCTTTTCTTAACTCCTTTAGATATAAGATTAGGTTATATTTGAGATGTTTCTTGCTTCTTGAGATAGGCCTGTATTGCTATATACTTTCCTCTTAGGACCACTTTTGCTGCATCCCAAAGTTTCAGACTGTTGTGCTTTCATTTTCATCCATTTCCATCTACTTTTAAATTTCTTCTTTAATTTCCTGGTTGACTCATTGTTGCGGCTGGCGAAACAAATCGACCAGGAAAACGTGAGGGTTAAGAGGATGGTGAAAAGAAATTAAGAGACAAAGAGATGGGGGCAGGAGGGACACTGAAGATGATGTCCAACAGTGCTGATTTTATTCCACATCTTACAAGCATTTATAAGGCAGACCAGAATAGGAGGAGTAATACATCAGTACCTAGTCAGATGACCGCAAGTTTCTATAACCAGTTTACATTAACTACAAGCAAACCTCATGATGCCAGGTAGTCTCAGCTAATGCCATTAACAAGACAATCAACCAGGGAGTGGGTTATGGGAGGTACAGGAACAACAAGGACCAACTAAGAATTCATGACCCTGACCACATTGTTCCCTTCTGTAGGGAGAGTGTGTGGGAAGTCATGTGGGTGAGCGTACAACACATAACACAGACCCTTTTTTACTCAACTTTCCCGTCCTTAACCTTGTCAAGGTGTCCGGACTTTGAAGGAGACACAAGTCAGGGCCTGGTTTGATCCTCGATTCCAACCATGCCATAGCCTCCAACAACTCATTCATTCTTTAGTAGAATGTTCTTTAACTTCCATGTATTTATGGTCTTTCCAAATTTTTTCTTGTGGCTGACTGCAAGTTTCATAACCTTGTGGCTGGAAAATATGCATGGTATTATCTCAATCTTTTTATACTTCTTGAGGCCTGATTTGTGACTCAGTAGTTGATCTTTTCTGGTGAATGTTCCCTGTGCTCTTGAGAGAATGTGTATTCTGCTGCTTTAGGATGAAATGTTCTGAATATATCTGTTAAGTCCTTCTGGCGAGTGTGTCATTCAAACCCATGGTTTCCTTGTTGATTTTATGTTTAGATGATCTGTCCATTGATGTAAGTGGGATGTTAAAGTCCCCTGCTATTATTGTATTATTATCAGTGAGTTCCATTATGTTTGTTATTAATTGTTTTATGTATTTGGGTCCTCCCAATTTGGGGGCAAAAATATTTGCAATTGTTAAATCTTGTTGGATAGACTCCTTTATTTTGATACAGTGCCCTTCTTCATCTTTTGTTACAGTCTTTGGTTTAAAATCTAGTCTGTCTCATATAAGTATTTGCTACTCTGGTTTTCTTTTTATGTCTATTTGCATGATAAAATATTTCCCCATACCCTTACTTTCAATCTTCAGGTGTGTTTAGGTCTAAAATGAGTTTCTTGTAAAAAAAACCTATAAATGGGTCTTGTTTTTTTATCCATTCTGATAGCCTATGTCTTTTGATGGAGCATTTAGTTAATATAGATTCAGAGTAATTATTGATAAATATCAATTTAGTGCCATTTTATTGCTTATTGTATTGTTTATGGAGATCTTCTTTATTCCTTTTTAGTCTTTTTCCCACTCAAAGAGTCCCCTTTAATATTTCTTGCAGGACTGGGTTGGTAGACACAAACTCCTTTAGCTTTTGTTTGTCTGGGAAACACTTTGTGTCTCCTTCTATTCTGAATGATAGCCCTGCAGATAGAGTATTCTTGGTTGCAGATTTTTCCCATTCAGTACATTGAATATATCATGCCACTTTTTTCTGGCCTACCAAATTTCTGTGGATAGTTCTGCTGCTAACTTTATTTCTCTTCACTTGTAAGTTAGGAATTCTTTTGTCTTGCTGCTTTTAGGATATTTTCCTTATCTCTATATTTTGCTAATTCAACCACAATATGTCTTGTTGTTGGCCTGCTTTTGTTGATTTTGATGAGAGTTCTCTGTGCTTCCTGGATTTGGAAGTCTGTTTCCTTCCCCAGATTAGGAAAGTTTTCAGTTATAGTTTCCTCAAATAAACCTTCTGCCCCCCTTTTTCTCTTCTTCCTCTTCTGGGACTCCTATGATATGAATGTTAATAAATTTTATGGACTTACTGATTTCCCTAAATCTACTTCCATGATCCAATATTTTTTTTCCTTCTTTTGATCACCTTCATGATTTTTCATAATTCTGTCTTCTTTATCATTTATTCATTCCTCTGATTCTTCCATCCTCATGGTCATTGCATCTACTTGGTTTCAAATCTTGGTTATCACATTTTTCATTTTGACCTGGTTCATTTTAAGCTCTTTTATTTCTGCAGTAAGGGACTTCCTGGTATCTTCTATGCTTTTCTCAAGCCCAGCTATTTCCCTTATAATTGTTGCTTTAAATTCTGAATCGGGTATATTACTTATAATTTGTTTTGATTTGATCCCTGGCCATGACCTTTACTTGTTCTTTCTTTTGGGATGAATTTTTCTCTCTTGGTATTTTGTCCAGGTCTCTGTCCTCTTCTCTATATTAGGAAAGCCTACTATGTTTCCTGCTCCTGAGAGTAATGGCATTATGACGAAGTCATATAACATTCAAGGCCTGGAGCTTCAGGAAGTGTCTCTGGTGTATGCTGCATACACTCTGTTGTTGTGTTGTGGCTGCTGTATCCCTCAGGTCAATCTTCTTCAGGGTTTCTCCTTGCCTTTAGTGGAGGGTATTTGGACCTTGGCCAGAGTGTGGTTTCCCTTAGAGCTGAAGTGTTGCAGAACTCCGTGGTCAGTAGACATGGTGCATGAAGGGATTTGTATTGTCCTTCAGGTGGAGGGGCCTGCTGCACTGTTCCTTAGGCACATTTGCTGGAGAAAAGCAATACCAGCTGAGCACAGTGGGGGCAGGGCTTAGGTTTAGGCCACCAGTGTTGGTGCTGTGCTGTTTATTGAAGTTGATATATGCTGAGGGGTGGGGGAGGGAAATGGCTGCCCCTTTGTCCCCACAGAGGGGAGTTCATGCTTGTTGTTATCAGGAAGCCCTCCTAGAAGAGTGAATAATTTCCTTTCTTGCATCATAGGTGTTTTCAGATCACTGTTTTCATTCTACCTGTATCTGGGTTACTTGCCTGCCTGGAGCAGCACAATGCACTTTGGGTTTTAGCCCAGCCAGGCCAGCTGAGTTTTAAAACTGCAATCTTTAAGGGTACCTGGGTGACATAGTTAAGTATCTGATTCTTGATCTCAGCTTAGGTCTTGATCTCAGGATTGTGAGTTCAAGCCCCATTTGGAGTGTACTTAAAAATCAGTCAATCAATCAACCAGTCTCCAAACTTTAGGGACCTGCTGTGGCAGGGATATGCACTGGTCTTCTGGGGGAGGATCTCGCTGCACTGGTATTGGTGCAGGTTTGACCCAGAAGGGCAATTGCACAAGAGTGTGGGAGTGTGGGGTTTGGAGCAAAGTGCACTAAAGAGCCAGTGTCCAGGTTAGCGGTCCTCAGCTAACTGAGACACCTCAGACACTAACAGGTGTCTGCATCTATGATGAGGTTTGGGGGGTGGGAAATGGCACCCACCAGCTCCTTTGTCCTCAGAAAGGCAATGCCTCCAAGAAGGGGGAACCATCTCCTAATACATCTCAGATGATCCACAGATTATGCCCTCTGCCCCCTGAATTACCTGCCTGCTTTCTCTACAGGAGCACTATAGCACCTTCAGGGCTTTATACCAGCCATGTCATGGATCTCTAAAACTCCAGTCTTTGAGCTCTGCTGGTGGCAAATAGGAAAATCAGCCCTCTTATTTTCCCCATCAATGGCTTTGAGGAATTGTTTTCCTTGTGCAATTCCCTGTGTGCTCCTCTTTCTCTCATCTCTATCTGTGACCAGGGCTCCCACCCCTCCACACATTTCCATAGCTCCTACCTTCCACGATGTGGCCTCCTCTCTCCCTCTAGTTGTGTAGTTTGTTCTGTAAGTCCTCAGATTGATTTCTTGGAAAGTCAGAATGATTTGGTATTTATCTAGCTGTGTTTGAAGAACAAGGCAAGCCTAGGGTCCTCCTACTACTCTGCCATCTTAGCTCCTTCCCCCTTTACAGAGTTTTCAATAAGGCTCACTCAATGTCTTAAAGTTGTTTATAAACTTTAATTTTTGTTGTCTTGCTTACATTTTTATTTTAGTATATTAAAGTCAAGGACTGTCCTCAGTGGTAATTGGAACATTTTACCAATAATCTAATTTATACATACAGTCAAGTATAGATTCTCTTTTAATTCCTATGAGGATCTGTGGATTCTGATGTTACTGAAGCTTTTAAAACCATCCATGAATTCTTGCTTTCTAAAATCTTCCTGTATGTACCCTCATTTACAATGGTAATTTACAACTTATTTTTTAAACATTCAGACTATGAATAATCTTTCTATTTAGAAGCACTTCCTCTCTGAAGTCCCACAACTATTTTGATTCTGCAGATCATATGCTAATTTAAATATTTTCTTTCTATAAATTTAGAGGTCATACTTTTAATGAAGCTCGGGGAATTTAGTCACTTCATGGAGCAAACTTTTTCTGAAGAGTTGATATCTTTGTAGACTTGAGGCCCTCATAACTCCAAGAGTATAAATCTAAGATTCTTAGTCTCATCTTATAATCAGTATTGTTGGATACTAAGAATAAATTCTGCCTGTCAGAATCTATTGTGGAAATAATTTTTTCTTGTGGAAAATAAATGTAGCTATCTGTGAACATAGCCATTCATGTCATATATTAGAATTAACTACTAATCAGTATCTAGGGTTGTGGAATATTGTATTTCTATTCTAGCTACTGAATGAAGTCACTGAAATAGCTGGTTATGTTTACATTCCAAAAGAAAGCAGTTATAGATAATAATAACTTTCCTCTTGAAGTGACTCCTGTATGTCTGTATCTATTGTCTTTTGTAGCAAATCCATTCTTGGGTCTATGCTATTCAGCATGACATTAGAGAATGAGCCTCCCATAGAAATGATAGCTCCAGGACTGTGGGATACAAGCCTGCCATCTCCAGTGATCCTGCAGGTAAGTGTCAGGCTATGAAGTTAAAGTATACATGACAAAAAAAAAAAAAAAAAAAGAAAAAAGCATACACAGCAAGTATTGGTTGATAAGTAGCTTCTCAATTACAGAAACATTTTCTTCTAGGATCACACATTTTAATTGTCTTCTCTTTCTCCAATTGGCTGGGATTTGTAAAACCTCTAGTTCTTTTATTTTGTATTTAGTGCTCTCAAAGCACTTTCCCCCCAGCTTATATAATAGCAGTTTCAAGCCATTCTGTCAACCATGACCACGAAGGATAGAAATGGAGTGTCGCCATTAGTATATTCATATGTAGATTCATTTTTCTCTCTGTTGTCTGAAAACAGTCATTGATATATATTATTAACTTGGTACCTTACACCTACCTCTGCATTGTGTCATGTTCCCTTAAAATCCTTCAATTGTACATTTCCTATATGACTAGCAATTAGGTCAGTATGGAGGAGAAACTACAGACAAAATCCATTCAACATACTTTCTTAACTCTTAAGACCCCTCTTCTTTCTGTGATTTGTAATCATGAGTAAAAGGTGGCTAATGATTCCAGGCTTTGTTCCTTTCTCCTGAAAGCTCCTTAGGTGTTCATCATTGTAAATGATAATATTGATCAGATACAGGAAGCATGGCCACTCCCATTTATGGAAAAGCAGAAAATACGGAATTTCCATCTCTATAGGGAAAAACTGGGAAGTGCTATCGGGGCAGCACTCTCTACAACTGGTCTCTCAACCTCAACACTAATGACATTCTGGACCAGATAACCCTTTGTTGTGGGGGCTGTCTAATGCATTATGGGATATTTAGCAGCATCTTTGGCTTCTACCTACTAGGTGTCAGTAGCACCTGCCTAGTTCTGACAATCAAAAAATGCTTCTAGATATTGTCAGATGTCCTCAAAATTGCCCTCAGTTGAGTAGAAGCTGTTCTAGATAAAGCTAGTGGAGTCTCTAAGTTTTTAAGTTTCCATGTTTGGGGTAAGGGACAAAGTTTAGCAAGACATTGAAACTGGAAGAGAAAAATATTACTAATAAAAATGTGACTTTCACTGCAAAGGAGGAAGTCCTCACCAAACATTAATCAAAGATCTACTTCTAATTCATAGATGTGATGATGAAAAAGAGTGTTCAGGTTTAGTCTTGGCACAACATCATAGATACTCAACATATAATGGCTTATTATTTAGCAGATGTTCCACTGTAACATGATGACTACCTTTCTTTAAGAGGACAAATGCAGGAGCACCTGGGTGGCTCAGGTTGTTAAGTGTCTGACTATTGACATCAGCTCAGGTCATGATCTCAGGGTTGTAAGATCAAGCTCCAAGTTGGGCTCTGCATGCTCAGCATGGAGTCTGCCTAAGATTCTCTCTCTCCTTCTGCCCCTCTCCCCACTCGTGATCAATCAATCAATCAATCAATCAATAAAATCTTTTTAAAAATGCATTTTTTAACAGACTGTTGCATGCGAGATACAAACTACCTCAGGCTGATGAGAATCTTCCAAGTCTGACCATTGACTGAGCTTTGAGGATATAAAGTCATGATTCAAGGGGTCTTTAAACAGCAATGGTTGGAATAGAAGAAGTAAGAGAGACTATCAGATGATTCTTCTCAGATGAGAGGAATAACTCTTTTAGAACTGAGATCCTGGCAAGTGGATTCTGAGGATTAGTTTCAAGTATTCAATAGCAGCATAGATTTCCTACTAAACATCTGGAGCTATAGCCAAATTTATCTTAAAAAAAATTATCTTACAAAAAAATGTAAATCATTCAACAGTATGCAAAAGTTAAATAATCTAATTTTTACAAAATAATTTCAAATGGTATAGACATAAAAAGAAACTTCTCAGGATATTTTTAATTGATGATAAAATATACAGAATAAAGTAAGAGTTGTTAAAGTTAAAACCCTTACTAACCAATATTGCTCTAATTATATACAGCTAAATTTAGAGCAGAATCTTTCAGCCTAAAGATTATAGTGAGGAAATTAGCAAATTCTGCAACCAGTGTTTGAGTTAAGGAGTCAAGATGTGTATCAGGGAAAGACATGTGTTTCAGGGAATGGCTCTGAGTTAGAAAGTCTGGATTATAGTTTTAGCTCTTAAACAGAAAACTTTATGACTTTGAATAAGTCACCAAACATATTTTCACATCTGTACAATGAAAGGATTATACTATGCCTATCCAACTTCTTTCAGATCTGTACTTTTCTGATTGTATTATTAGATAGACAGTTACTGCCCCATGGTAGCTACCCTAGTATGAGAAGGGATATGATATGTCACAAAACCTGAATCCTCTAAGTCCCTCACTTTTTTCTTTTTAGGTTTTATGGCTTAAGTGCCAACCAGAAGCTGTGGGTGGAGTGAAGTAGATCTGAATTTAGAAGTGGACAAAGAGGGATGTTTGGGTGGCTCAGTGGGTTAAAGCCTCTGCGTTCAGCTCAGGTCATGATCTCAGGGCCCTGGGATCGAGCCCCACGTCGGGCTCTCTACTCAGCGGGGAGCCTGCTTCCCCCTCTCTCTCTGCCTGCCTCTCTGCCTACTTGTGGTTTCTGTCTGTCAAATAAATAAATAAATAAAAATCTTAAAAAAAAATGGACAAAAGGGGCGCCTGGGTGGCTCAGTGGGTTAAGCCTCTGCTTTCAGCTCAGGTCATGGTCTCAGGGTCTTGGGATTGAGCCCCACATTGGGCTCTCTACTCAGCAGGGAGCCTGCTTCCCCCTCTCTCTCTGCCTGCCTCTCTGCCTACTTGTGATCTCTCTCATCCTGTCAAATAAATAAATAAATAAATAATGGGACAGCTGGGTGGCTCAGTCAGTTAACTGACTTAACACTCAGTTAAGTGTTCGCCTTTAGGTCGGGTCATGATCCCAGGGTCCTGGGATCAAGCCCCACATCCAGGCTGGCACTGGGCTCATTGCTCAGTGGGGAGCCTACTTCTCTCTCTCCCTCTACCTGTCATTCCTCCTTCCTTATGCTCTCTCTCTCTCTGTCAAATAAAATCTTAGAAAAGAAAAGAAATAGAGACAGATTACTGCATCATTTCACTAACCTGGATCTCCCTCAACTTCTTACCTCTCTCTGTGTATAATCTAGTCGCATGGCTCTATCACAATTTAAGAACTAAGAGCAGAGTTTTAGTCAATGTTGCTCTTGTTCTGTTCTATAGTCCTCTACTTCCCCACCTCCTCATTCTTGTCTAAATTCACTATATCCTGGCTTATTTGTTATTCTTAGTTGCTCTATCCAGTGGTGGTTTTAGTTCTCTTCATACTAGCTCTCTGCAACTTTTGGCACTCTCTTTCCCATTAGAGAACACTTTTCTCCTCTCCTTTCTCTGTTTCCTTCCCAGTCTCCCCTTCTGCTAGTCCTTCCTGTTGACAGTTCTCAAAGGTTCCATCTGCTGCCCATTGCTATTCTCAGTATATGTACTCTCCCTGGGAGAATTTCTTTAAAAAACTTTGTTGAGATAGAATTCACATACCCTATAACCTTCCCGTTTAAAGTGTGCAATTAATTGCTTTGGGATTTTTTCTTTTTTTTTTTTTCAAAGATAAATACAATTACCACAACATCAATTTTAGAGCATTTTCATCACTTCAAATAGAAATCCTATATCTTCTAGCTATCACCTCCTACTCTCCCATTTTCCCCAACTCTAAGAAGCTGCTAATCTACTTTCTGTATCTATAGATTCACCTATTTTGCATGTTTCATATAGATCAAATCATATAATACTTGGTCTTTTGTGACTGGCTTCTTTCACTTAGGTTAATGTTTCAAAGTTCATCTGCATTACAGCATATATCAGTATTCATTCCTTTTCTATTGTTGAATAATATTACATTGCATGGATATACTATACTTTATCCATTCATTAGTTCATATGCATTGAGATTGTTTCCACTTTTTGGCTATTGAGAATGGCATTGCTGTGAACATTTGTGTACAGGTTTGTGTGTGGACATATGTTTTCATTTATCTAGGAGATATCTATATCATCTATATCTATATCTATATCTATATCATGTATATATCTAGCACTAGAATTGCTAGATCTCATTCATTTCTAAGGTTTTATTCACAATATCTATCCAGGTTCACTTCCTAATCTATCTCTAGTTCAGATTCTTTTTTTTTTTAAGATTTTATTTATTGGGACGCCTGGGTGGCTCAGTTGGTTAAGCAGCTGCCTTCGGCTCAGGTCATGATCCCAGCGTCCTGGGATCGAGTCCCACATCCGGCTCCTTGCTCGGCGAGGAGCCTGCTTCTCCCTCTGCCTCTGCCTGCCATTCTGTCTGCCTGTGCTCGCTCTCTCTCCCTCTCTCTCTGACAAATGATAAAATCTTTAAAAAAAAAAAAGATTTTATTTATTTATTTGACAGATAGAGATCACAAGTAGGCAGAGAGGCAGGCAGAGAGAGAGGAGGAAGCAGGCCCCTACTGAGCAGAGGGCCCAATGCTGAGCTTGATCCCAGAACCCTGGGATCATGACCTGAGCCGAAGGCAGAGGCTTTAACCCACTGAGCCACCCAGGTGCCCCATCTAGTTCAGATTCTTTCACACTACACACTGCAGACAAATATAGCCACATGAAACTCCCACCTGGATATTGTACAGACAGCTTCAAAGAAAATATATCCCAAAGTGAGCTCACCTTTCTCTCCAAATTGCTCTCACCCCCTGAATTATTTATGTCTGTTCATGCCCCTCATACACCTACTTATTTCATTTGCCTCATCCCTCTTTATCCCTATGCATGTTTGGTCTGTACTCTATCCTGCCAATTATCTCCCATATGTTCCTCAAGTGTATCCTTTCAATTTGCTACACCTGCCTAGTTCAGAAATTCCCTCCTAGGTCACAATAGTTTAACTGGGTTTTTGTTTTTTTTTTACCTTTAGTTTTGTCATTCTATAATCCAAAATCCGTAAGTTTGATTCTTCTAAAACTTAAATTTGCCTGCCAACTCCTCTATTTACACTCTTCAGTAATTCAGCACTACCTAGAGAATTAAGGTCACGCTCTACAGCATGACTCCTCTCCCATTGTTTCTCTTGCCACTCCTTGTCTGACACTTCATGCTCCAGTAACTTTGAAAATGTTGTAGTTTCTGACATGCACTGTCCTGGTTTTACCTTATGTGCATTTACAAATACTGTTTCCTGCTTGCAGTATGCCCTCTCTCTTCCTTTCACCATCTACTACCTACCCCTCCTCTCTGATTTTATTCGTGTAATTAATATTCACTTTTAGGATCCACAGGCCCTCCTCTAGGAATCTCTTCCATATGCTCTCCTCTCTTTCCAACCCAAGCAGCATTAAGTGACCTTCCTCTGCATTCACACAATAACCAATAAGATTTTTATGAACACATGCACCACTTTATACTTCTCACTGACTTTTTACCCATTGACTTCTTTATTACTGAAGGCATTGGGTGTTTTATCCCTAACTTTCTAGCATAGTACCTGAAATACAGTATTTATAAAATCAATGCTATGTGTCCATACATCTGATCACTATAATAACCTAGCCTACAGATATTTCTGAACTTAGCACTTTATTGCAATTATTAGAATCCAGATTCTAGAGTGTTTGGCTCTTCCTTTTATCTAAGTGGCCTTCCTCTTAAACCAGTTCTTACTCATCCAAAGTATTTTACTTTACCTAACACTGTATTAGATGCTTAGTATCCATTATCAACAATGTTAGGGGGAGGCAACAGTCTTACTGATACCAAGTCTTTAGAACGCAGCACATTTTGCATCCTAATATAGCAGATGTTTTTTGGTTTTGGGGTTTTTTTTTCCCATTATTCCTGAACTGCCTTTTGGCAGTTCCCTCTTTTACAGTTTCTTCCTTAACACTCACTACAATTGCCATCCAGTTGGTAAGCATCCTTCCTTCCCTTGAACTACCCTAGTACTTATGGTCTAACATTCATGTGCCTTATAATATCCAAAATACGTCTACAGTCCAGGGGGTTGTTCTTTGACAAGTTGACAGAATCATGGGGGCCCATGCTGGGCCCATGGGCCTCTGGGCATGGTTGTGGGTCATGGACACTGGAAACATTCACAGCTGCTTTCTCAAAGAATTCCAAGTCATGAAGTCACAGTAGGAACCATGGTGGTCAAGTGTGAATGGAGAAGGATGAGAGGAAGTGAAGTAGGAGGCATAAATGGAACATAAGAATTCAATATTCAGATGTATAAGGAGGTATGAATTAGAGGGTTGGATAATCAGGTCTGAATGTTTTCTTGCATCTCAAAGAAAAGAGCCTCATAATTTTTTGTTGTTGTTGTTGTTTTTGAAATCAGGAGTCTATCCTCAATGCTTGAGGCAAGAATGTAATAAATAGGTGTTATGACAGATGCAATGGAGACATTTGAAAAGATCTCCTAGAGAACTCCATTAAAAATACTTTTGAGACTAAAGCAGGCTTGGTTAGTCACAATGACAGAAGGAGAAAATCAGAGTCACATTTTTGCCATTACTGACTTGAAGCAGAGTTTTGGGGTGCTATGTATATGAATTGTACCATACTTTATATACATTTTATATATATTTGTTAATATATACATTTTTCTCCTTTATTAGTTAATTAAGGAGAAAATTAATTAATTAAGTTCTTTGAAGGCGATGGATACTCTTTATATCTTCATAATGCATGATATGCAAAAAAAATTCTAGAACAAATATAATAACATATACTTTGTGGGAACTTCACTTCCATGAAAAATTAGAACAAAAGGCATTTGGGAGAAATTCCAGTATTTTCTATCACTGGATCAGAAATTAGTAATTTTAGCCTCATAACATGTGACATAATGCAGTCAGTATAGGGCCTCATTCATATATCAGAAATTAAAAATTCATAAGTGAAATATATCAAAGAATTTATTATATATTTGTGCACAGGGATACTTCTGTTTTCTCATCCAATAGCTTTAGTTTCCTCATGTACCCTGCTCTTCACTTAAAACCAACATAAAATGGAACTACTTCATCAAATACTATTTCTAGTATTTTTGTTTCATGTGTTTAAAGTATTTGGGCACACGAAGAATAATATAACCTGCCAATACTGGAGTTACAGCTCTCTAGGGGACAAAAATTAAGCTTTCTGTCAAGAGGGAAAATTTATTATAACATTGCTTTTCTATGACTCAGTTCTTTTATCATATTGGAGTATTAAGTGGTACAGTATAACAAAAATTATACCAAAAACAAATGTGACAACACATTTTGGAGATTATAAAATTGCTAAAACTTTTTTCTAGCAAATAACCCAAATAGAGTCAACTGTATTTCAAGTTTTAACTCACACAGTGTACCTTATAATGTTTCTCAATTTTCTCTGAGATCCCAAACTAAAATAGTTCAGCAGAGAAAAATAATTTTAGGTATTTTAATATGAAAAAAATGTATCATAACTTAAACACACATATGGGGCACTAAAGTAACTAGCTCATTTACATAGTTTGAAATTGTTTATTTTGTTAACTTTTTTTTTAATTTACTAGAATCAGATCATCACTGAAACATGGTTTAATGGAAAACACATTCTGCCAAAAAAAAGGCCTGAATTCTAGCCCTATCTATAAATCTGAACTACAGAGCAAGAAAAAAGAATGTTGTATTTGGTTATACATTTAAATAAATCTTCACCAGAAATTCATGTCTTCAAAGTTGTTCACAGCCCTGTAGATTTCCTGAAGTATAAACCAACATAGAGTAACTCTATTTTCTCAGGTATTTACGTGAGAAAAGTATAAGTACCATTTATAATTTTTATCATTTAATAATATAATGACATTTTAGTACTGAACTGTAAAAAGGATATAATTTCAGCATTAAACAAAAATATAACTTTTAAATTTATGAAATTTCATATATTGCTATTTTTTCATTTTTCCTCAGGCAACATTACAGATTACTAATTTATACCATTTATGTAAATAATTGAAGATTCGCCGAACAATATATATATTTAAATACCAAGTCCAAACCCTAATGATTCTTTTTTTTTTTAAACAATTTTACTTATTTATGTTAGAAAGAGATGGAAAGCGCACAAGTAGGGGGAGGGGCAAAAGGGAGAAGAAGAGAGAGAATCTTAAGCTGACTCTGTGCTGAGCACAAGCCTGATATGGGGCTTCATCCCACATCCATTAGCCAAAATCAAGAGTTGGATGCTTAACTGAGTGAGCCACCCAGTGCCCCAACCCTAATGATTCTTTTAAAAATTATTTTTAAGTAAAAAAGAGCACAGAAAACGTAGGAATTTTCCCTTAGCTTCTACAAACCTTAGATAGAGAGTATTAAGTTAATAATGCATTTTGAGGCATTCAATACATGGCAAATCATTTCTTTATTTCAGATTGATTTTCCAGCTACTGAGTGGGAGTATATGAAACTTGATTCTGAAGAGAATAGAAATAATCTTGAAGAACCACCAAAAGAGTGTTTAAAACACATTGCCAGACTTTCACAGAAACAGTCTCCTTTACTGTAAGTGACCCAGGTCTTTTGAGTAAATTTTGCCTACTGTTTTTTACACCACCAATTATACTGGAAGTTACATCTTTTGGATGTTCAATTAATGTTTAACAATTAACTTAGTAATTTTGTGTGTTTTTTAAAGATTTGTTTTTTCCATTGCTTTTAACAATGGAGGTTTGACTTTAGTCAAAGGACAAATAAAAAGATTGGAAATCATTCTGTTCAGTACAATAAAGCAGAGACTGATTAGATATAATCAGCATTTAACAGTGATAAACCACTGCTCAACTATCCTTCAACAGAGTAAAAAGTTGTTTTAGTAAGTAGAAAAAAACAAAATTTAATTTTCTTGGCAGATTTAAAAAGAATAGATATAAATAATTTTTAATAGCACTAAGTTAGTGACTAAGGAGTACTTAAATTTTGTCAAACAGTAATTCTCTGAAGAATAAAATAAAATCCCAGGAAGAGCCATAAGAGAACTAGCGATATTGGTACTTTCTACTTGGTAATTTCTAATCCGTAGGTGATTGTGCTCATTAATAGCATGCAAAAGCATTAAACTAAGAAAGTAACTTTTCTGTATATACTGTGAAAAGATATAAAACATGATAATGCCTTTTATTCCAAGAATAAGAAATTGTATAAATACATTGAACAAGAGAGTCATGTGATCTAAATAATCTCTTTGAGTGGGCCCTTGTACTGCAAGTTGAAGAATGGATTAGAGAGAAAGTAAGAATGGAAGCAATATAGCAAGAAGGTTGATGTAATTTTTTAAGCAAGAAGTCATGGTGGCTAACACTAGGGTAATGGCACTGGATATTGGTAGAAATGTCTGGATTTGGGAGCCCTATTCTGGAAATTGAGGAGACATGATTTGATGATTAATAGTAACTAGGGGATAGGCCAACTGAGAAAGCAAAAAACCAAGTTAGGTCAATGGAGAATCCAAAGTTTTGAAATTATTGAATAGGCAGACGTTACGAGTAATTCTCTGGGGAAGTAATAAGTTTGGGCCATTTCAGACTGAGGCATTGAGTGTGATCAAGAGTTCTGTTTTGGGTAATCTTATTACTGCCCTTATCTCTAATTTCACCTTGTAGTACTCTTTTCCTCATTCACTTCAATAAGTGACATCAGACTCCTTTATATAGTTCACATGTGCTGGTCCCTCTCCCATCTCAAGGTCTTTTCATTTGGTGTTCCCTCTGCCTGAAATACTCCTTCAGTTCTTCACATGACTGAATCTCTCATCCTGTAGGTCAGGTCTTCACTGAGTTGTGATCTTCTTAGAGAAATATTCTCTGACTACCCTATCTAATGAAATTCTCTTTACTCTCAGTCTTATTACCTTTTATTATTATACTTAACACAGTCTATTATCATCCTATCTGTTAATGTGTTTTTTCTTGTCTTACTCGTAAATTTGTAAGAATTGGGAGAGCAAAGAGCCCCTCTATCTTGTTTTCCCTTTATTTCCAGTACTGTACACTGTGCTGATAAATAATACATGTAAAATAAATGTTGTAATGAATAAAGTTTCTCCACATAATATCTGATATAAAAAGTTGCCTTAAGGGATGTAAATGATGGACTATTCTTGTAGTCTTCATGATACTTTTTTTTTTTGTTAAAGATTTTATTTATTTATTTGACAGACAGAGATCAGAAGTAGGCAGAGAGACAGGCAGAGAGAGAGGGGGAAGCAGGCTCCCCGCTGAGCAGAGAGCCCGATGTGGGGCTGGATCCCAGGACCCTGAGATCATGACCTGAGCCGAAGGCAGAGGCTTTAACCCACTGAGCCACCCAGGCGTCCCTTCATGATACCTTTTGATAATCCATTGTTATACTAGACTGCTGTCAGCTAGGTGAAACATCTTTTCTACTACTTACTCAAAAATATAAAACATAACATATAACAAGTGTGTCACATATCAGACTAACATATTTGTAATGGTTTCTTTTAAAATATGAAAAAGGTGCCATGCTTTGAAATTTTAAGTGTATTCAAACAAAAAAGATCAAAAGCAACAAATAAATACAGTAACTTCCTTTAATTAGGAGTTTGTTTTTAAGTTTACTTCAGTGAATCCCAACTTGTTTTATACCTCAGTTTCTATTTAAATGAATAATGTGTACATAAAATAACCAACATTTTCCTCTGTTTCACTTACTCAAATATAATTATTAAGCTCAGGGCAGTAGAATTTCATTCTGGATTGTGAAATTGATGGAGAACAGCCTTCAGTGTGATAAAATTTGTGTTAGAATCAGATTAACTTCAAAAAAAGAATCAGATTAACTTGTTTCAAAATACCACATTTTGTCATTTATATAGTGATAATTATTTCTTCTTACAAATTTATCAAATGTAAGCAGAGTCAGGAAATTCAGACTAAATGAATTTCAATGAAAATGTACCAATAATATTTGCAAATATTTAAAAAATATACTTGATGACAGCTAAGAGTGTTTCCAATATGAGGAAGATTCCAGAAGGAAAGATTGAAAAACATTTTTTTTTTTTTAAAGACTCCATTCACTTATTTGACAGAGAGAGATCACAAGCAGGCAGAGAGGCAGGCAGAGAGAGAGGAGGAAGCAAGCTCCCTGCTGAGCAGAGAGCCCGATGCGGGGCTCAATCCCAGGACCCTGAGATCATGACCTGAGCCGAAGGCAGCGGCCTAACCCACTGAGCCACCCAGGTGCCCCGAAAAACATTTGTTTTGAAAGAAATTAATGCTTCCACTTCCAGTTATGAAAGGGACCTATTACTAGACTAATTCTCCTGGCTTAAAAGAATATGAGACAAGAAAAATACATTTGAAACAGATGCTTTCAGAAATTGGACAGGGCTTAAGGTGAGCTCATGAATAAAGTGGTTTTCAGCCTGAAGGCACTTTCTACATCATGGCTCTGGGAGGTATATTCAAAGAAGTGGTCTTGCTGAGATTTAAAGAAAAAAAAAAAAAGTGGGCAGAGATCTGAGTTTAATGATGCTGAAGCAGCTGGAATTTCTAGAGCATAATAGTAGAGAAGGAAAGGAGCTACAGAAATACATAACTGAGTACTTAACTACTCATGAGCAGGTAGAGATTTTGTAAGCCTCCAAAAGAGCTACCACAAGGAGATGTGGTTGCACAATGTTGGAAGACATAGAAATATTGACCAATAAGAATAAAAAATGCTCCCAGAACATCCCAAGCATTCAACAAAGAAACCAGCAAGATGCATATTAAGAGTAAGTGTTTTCTAGCCCAAGATTAAAGACTGTGCTATGCCCAACCTAAAATACAAAAACAAGTCTCAAAAGGCTAAAGCTGATCTGCTAGTGCTTAAACTGCCTACTTAAAAAAAAAAAAAAAAAGAAATATTTAACACCCAGAAGATGGCAAAATTCAGACAATGTAGCATTTTAAATATTTAACATACAATCAATAATTGTTAGAGATTAAGAAAGACTCAGGAATATATAACCATAGCTTGGGATAGGAGGAAACAGTTAACAGAGACAAGTCTAAATATTTTTAAACTAGCAGCTAATGATTTCAATACAACTATTATAAAAACATCTATAGATGTTTAAAAAAAAAAAAAAAGAAAGACATATATGAGTGAACAACAAAAGCTCAGTAAATAAAATCGAAAACTTAAAAGCTAAAAAACGCAGTATCTGGGGCACCTGAGTTGCTCATTTGGTTAGGCCTCTGCCTTCAGCTCAGGTCATTCCTAGGCTCCTGGAATTGAGCCCTGCAATAGGCTCCCTACTCAGTGGAGAGCCTGCTTCTCCCTCTCCCTCTGCCTACCACTCTGCTTAGCTGTGCTCTCTCTCTACTCTCTGTCAAATAAATAAAGTCTTTTAAAAAACACACACACATACAATATCTAAATTTTCTAAAAATCACTGAAAAGCTTAATAGATTGCATTATAAAGAAACACCTAAGGAGCTTGAAGAAAGGGCTATAGAAAATTAGCCATGTTGAAGTACAGAAAAAAATACTGATAGATCCTTGTAACCTGTCAGACAATATTGACGATATGTGTATTGGACACACAGGAGTGGAGAGAAAGATCTAGGCAAAAAAAAAAAATAAAATAAAATAAAATAAAATAAGTGATAATAGTCAAAATAGTCAAAATTTTACAAATTTGTTTTAACTTCAACCCAGAGATATAAGAAACTTAGCAACTCCCAAACAAGCATTCAGACATACCCACATATCCATATTATAATTAAATTTCTAAAAATAAAACATAAAGGTAAAAATTCTTAAAGCATCAGAGAAAATAACTTCCTACAGGGGAACAACTATTATATTAACTGTAGATTTCTCATCAGAAATAATGTGAGCCAAAAGACAGTAGAATATTATCTTACATCTAGGAAGGGAAAAAGAAAATCTGTCAACTTAAAATTCTATAACCAGTAAAATTATATTTCAAAAATGAAGGTGGAATGAAAATATTTTCAATTAAACACAGCTGAATTTGTTTATGATCAGCTTATCTATACTGTAAGAAAAAAATTTTTTTAAAGAATTTATTTATTCGAGAGAGACAGAGAGAGTGAGGGAGGAAAAAGCATGAGTAGGGGAGGGGCAGAAGGAGAAGCAGATTCCCTGCTCCCTGCTCCCTGCTCAGCAGCAAGTGTCACTCAGGCTCTATCCTGGATCATGACCTGAGCTGAAGGCATACAGTTAACCCACTGAGCCATCCAGATGCCCCATGTACTGTAAGAAATTTTAAAGGAGGGGTGCCTGGGTGGCTCAGTTGGCTAAGCATCTGCTTTCAGTCAGGTCTGATCCCAGGGTCCTGTTATTAAGCCTGACATCGGGCTCCCTGCTCAACGGGGAGCCTGCTTCTCCCTCTCTCTCTGCAGCTTCCCCTGCTTGTGCTCTCTCTCTCTCTCTGTCTTACTAGCTGAAAGAAAAGGATAAGTAGAAGAAAGCTCAGTATATAAGAATAAATGAAAGGCACTGCAGAGGAAAAATAGGGAAATAAAATGATTTTTACTTACACATTTAACAATTTCTTAAAAAAGCAATTAACTGTATAAGGCAAAAATAATTACAATGTACTAGGGGGCTTGTAATATATGAAAATAAAATGCATAACCACTATAATAAGAATGAGAAATGGAAGGCAGTATAATATTAGTTCATTGTTGGCTATGATGTGCTAAAAGATAAAACTGCAATCTCTAGAGAACTATACCACCCAAATTTTAAGTGCACATTTACAGGCCAAGAAGACAAAAAATGAAATACAAGAAAATAATTCAAAAGATGACAGGATAAAAAGAGAAAAAGGACAAAGAAATGGTTTGAAAACAATGATGACAAACTAATAACAATATGGTTGAGTTAAACCAATTATATCTGAAGAAAAAAATTATATTCATATTATGTTAAATATACATGGAAGGAAAAACTCTAATTAAAAGTCAGAAATTGTCACCTACCTTACAAAAGCAATATGTTACTTTATGCTAATTACAGGCCTATATTTTAAATATGAGGATTTGGGGTGCCCGGGTGGCTCAGTGGGTTAAGCCTCTGCCTTCGGCTCAGGTCATGAGCTCAGGGTCCTGGGATGGAGCCCCTTGTCTGGCTCCCTGCTCAGCGGGGAGCCTCCTTCCCCCCTCCCTCCCCCCACCTGCCTCTCTGCCTACTTGTGATCTCTGTCTGTCAAATAAATAAATAAAATCTTTTAAAAATAAATAAATAAATATAAGGATTCAGCTAGATTAAAACTTTAAAAATGGAAAAAGACATATAAGAAAAATTATATCATCTTGATAGATTTGGTGAAATAAAACAATTGACAAAATTTAACACTCATTCCTAATAAAAACATAAAACTAGAAATTGAATGGAGCTTTCTCAACCTTAAAATCCTGAATTAAATCTAGATCTGTGGAAAAATCTGGAGTTAGCATCATATTAATTGTACAAGAATGAATGTTTTCCCCCTACAACTGGAAAGCAAAGCTGTCTATCTAAATATTTCTCCTCAATGTGGTTTTGGAAGTTCTAGCCAGTGTAATATAGTAAGAAAAAGAAATTAAAAGTGTTGAACTGGGTAAGAAGGAAACAAAACTTTCTCTATTTTCAGGTAATATAATTATGTAAGATCATAGCATTTGGGATCAAAGTGCAAAATGCAGTTGTAGTTCAGTGAAAAACAAAATAAATTCTGTTTTAAAACTCAACATAGAGGGGCACCTGGGTGACTCAGTCAATTAAGTGTCCCACTCTTGATTTCAGCTCAGGTCATGATTTCAGGGTCATGAGGTCAAGTCCCATGATGGGCTCCCCACTCAGCAGGGAATTTGCTTGTCTCCCTCTTCCTCTGCCCCTCACCCTACTCTCTCTCTCTCTCTCTCATTCTCTCTCTCAAATAAATAAATAAATCTTTAGGAAATTGGGGAGGATATGTGCAATGTTGAGTGCTGTGTATTGTATAAGACTGATGAATCACAGACCTGTACCCCTGAAGCAAATAATACATTATATATTAATAATAAAAAATAAAAAATAAAATTCAATCAACAATATCAAAACCTCTACGTTAAAATTACAAAACTTTGCTAAGAGGAACTAAAGAAAACCTCACTAAATGGAAGTTTATGTCGTGTCATTGACTAGAATTCTCTTGTTAAGATGGTAATTCTAATTCTATGAATAGTCATATAGATGCCACTATGTACCTATTAGAATGGATAATATCTTAAAATGGGCAAAACCAAGTGTTACCAACAACATGGTACAACTGGCACTGTCATACTCTGCTTAATAGTGTAAAATTTTACAACCACTTCAGAAAATATTTTGACAGTGTCTTCAAAAGGTAGACAAATACCTGACATAAAACCCAGTCATTCCCCTCCCAGGAACTTTCTAGGAGAAATGAAAGAAATACATCCTTACAAATACCTGCATACAAATGTTTATAGCAGTTTTATTCATAATATCCCCAAACTGGGGTGTATTCATACAAAGGAATGCTACTCATTGGTTAAAATGTATGGACTACTGATATACTCAACAATATGGATAATTTTAAAACATAGTGAGTGAAAGAAGCTATAAATAAAAGTATTTACTCTATGATTTCATTTATGTGAAGTTCTAAAATAGGTAATATTAACCCAGAGTGAAAGAAATCCTGCCAGTTCTTACCTCTGTTTGTGTAAGAAAACATATATTAGAAGGAGTGTGATTTTTATTCAGTGTATGAATTTGTTAAAATTTATTGAACTGAATGTGTGCATTCTTTTGATGTAAATTATGCTTCACTAAAAGAAAGTAAAAAAAAAATACCTTGTTCAATATTGGAGAGAAAGGAATTTAATCAGAACAAGATAATTTGTTTTAGTCATAATTTGATAATAATTTTATAATGGAATTTTTCTTCTGAGGACTCTATGGTGGGGAAGGTAGTGACAAAATGGGACAGGAGCCCAAGAATACTTCAAAAATGTCTGTAATCCAACCCTTTCATTTGTAGATGAAGATGGCTTTTAAAAATGTAGAGAAATATTAACCTTTAAAATATTTTAATATTTCTTACTATCCTTCTTGGAAGTTTTAGCTAATTTAAGCTGAGCAACACTGTCAGTTTGGAGGAGACAGTGTTCAAAAGCTGTCATTGTCATGTGAGAAATGCTGTCCTCCAGTTGAACTGTGGTTCTGAATGCTTCTGCTGGAGTGTGAGCAAAACATGATAAACTGTCAGCAAGTCAATGGCCCTAGTCCTAGATTTCGATCTTCTGTTTGGAACCATTCTCCAGGGGAAACAGTTGGGCATTTAAAGAAATCCTATTCACTGGCATTTTGACTCCAAACTTCCAGTTAAATATGAGAATTTAAAGCCCCAATCCAGGCATGAATTGAAATCTTTGTTTTTGAATTTTTGTGCAGAGTTTTCTGAACTCTCGTGAAACTTGCTTTGAGATGAAGGACTAGCATCTTTAAAATATGCCATTTCTTCACAGGCACACTTGGGTCTAAATTAGTTTAGAAAGTAAGAGAGTAAATTTTCTATTACCTCTGTTCTAAGTAGTACATGTGGCAGGATTCAGATAAAACTTGCTCTGCCCTAAAGGAGACAGAGATTTTGTTAACCATTCTGTAAAAGAATGAAATTAATAGAAAATAAGCTAATAAAAGAACTTATTAGATTGTCTGAAGAAGAAAAGACTTGTTTTTCAAAGTAAACTAAAATGAAATTCAAAGAACTGAGTAAGATTTTGTACTCTAACATTTGTTAATGTAGCAAACTCCAATAAATTACAGTTTCCAATCTGGTTTTGTAGACTCTCTGAGGAAAAGAGAAGATACTTATGGTTTTATCGCTTCTACTGCAATAATGAAAACTGCTCCCTTCCTTTGGTCCTGGGTAGTGCCCCTGGATGGGATGAAAGAACTGTTTCAGAAATGCATACCATTTTGAGAAGATGGAAATTTTCTTGCCCTTTGGAGGCACTTGGACTTCTGACTGCTGGGTAAGAATGGCATAACAAGCATGATATTACTGATGAGAAAAATTTGGAGAAAAAAATAGGACTCTATAATTAATTCAATAGCTATTCTGGTTGTTTCCAATTTCAATAGCTATAGATAATAAATTTAGATAAATGTAAACTATGAATATAAATTTTAAACAAATCTAAGCTATAATTGTGTCTTCTGTACTAAACTGGAAGGATAATTAATGGCCATAGTTTTTTAAATGAAGAGTTTAGTTACTCTTACAGAAATAATAAAACAAATTAGGGAAAAATAAAATTCTCTACTCTTTATCCCTCTCAAAAGCAGTAAGTCCTTAATAATTGGACCATATCTTTTATACAAAATGTCCCATTTATAGTAAGTGTACAATTAATATGCCAATGATAACATTAAGAATAAAAGGGAAAAATTTATCCCTTATATATTCTCCAGACCTTCTCACAGAATAAAATACGCTGGAATGCAGTTGGGGGTGGAGTAATGATGTCTTCTTATAGTTAGGGAGAAACATGTGGGATAAGTGTAGAAGCTGGCTTTGGTTTGGGGAAACAGCTCTTCCTTGGCTTCTATTTTATATTAAAAGCCAAGAAGAGCTATTTTAAAACTGTCTTGATAACCATCAGTTCAATGATGGCATGAAGAAGTCTGCAGTCTCTAGAAGCAGAAGAATTGTGGAGCCCAGTTATATTCTGAATTCTCTCTCAAGGTCCTGACAGAAGGGGAATGTGAGAGAAAATGACACAAAGGACTTTTCAAACTGATTTACTTAGGTTTATGTTAAAATTAGTGTACTTTCCAAAACTTCAGGAATAGAAAAGGAGGTGAAAGTTTTCGTTTTCTACCACAATGAAATACCACTTCACACTCATTAGGATGGCTATAATCAAAAAGACAAATAATATTAAGTGTTGGCCAGAATGTGGAGAGATTGGAAAACTCACACATTGCTGGTGGGAATGTAAAATGGTGCAACCACTTTGGAAAGTAATTTTCAGTTCCTTAGATATAAAACATTGAGTTACTGTATGACCCAACAATTCCACTCTTAAGTATATACCCAGGATAAAATACATAGTCCATCAAAAACTCATACATGAATATCCAGAGAAGCAATATTTATAATAGCCAAAAAGGAAAAACAACCCAAAAGATCATCAACTAATGAATCAAATAAAATGTGGTCTATCAATACACTGTAATATTATTCAGTAATAAAAAGAAATGAGTAATAATACATGTTACAACATGAGTAAACCTTGAAAACATTGTGCTGAATGAAAGAAGTCAGTCACAAAAGATTGTATGATTCCATTTATAAGATATATCCAAAATTGGCAAAACTACAGATGCAAAAAGTGGATTAGTGATTGCCTAGGTCTCAGGAAGGTTGGGGGAAAAGGGGGTTGATTGCTAAAGGATATGAAGTTTCTTTTTTTGATTATAGTTATACAACTCTGGGAACATGTTCAAAACCATTGAATTGTACACTTTAAGTGAATTGTATAGAATTTGAATTGTGTCTCAGTAAAGCTCTTAAAAATTTAAAAGAACAGTTAGAAAGGTAAAAATAGAAATATGAATCTCTGTAATATCTCTAAAGCCTAATTTTCTCACCAGATGATATAACATCTTTCTAGTTTCTAAACTATAAACTGGCTTTATGGAGGGGAATTATTATTGTTTTACTAAGATATACCTTGGTCTATTTAAAAGACATTAAATGTGTCAACTAATACTTTTTGTAAAGTTTATGGAATATTTCTTAGAAAAATCTTCTTTTTGAATACCCAAGTTTTTAAACATTATAAAAGTTTCGGTCTTCTTTTTTTCAGAGGCAAATAGGTTGTTGCTCTGACATAACAAGAATCCAGAATCCCAGCAAACAGATTGCATTGTATATAATGCATGTACCAGAAACATGCAGACCATACATGAATATACTTTCAATCAACATAAGCAGTAGGAATTTACTCAAGGGGTAAATCAGTAATGAGGCAAACCTTCATACATATGCAAATGTACAATTGACAATAGATTATTTTAGATCCAAAGTGTCCTTCGAATATTAAAAATGAGCTAGGAGACTGTTCCTGCAATAGCATGTGAAAGCTGTATCTTGTACTTTCTATCTTGTACTTTCCATGTAGAAGTGGCTTCATATCACATCTCATGAGTTTAACATTGCACAGCAAAGGACCATGCTGAACATCATGCCGAAGATCATGAGACCACCAATTCCAATACCGACAGATTCTAGCTTAACGCTGATTATGGTCTCAATTTTACCAATACAATGTCTGTGTCCGAGAAGCTCCTTCAGGCATATAGGTTGGACCTGTTCAGAGCTTTTGTTTCACAACACTAAAATGTTGAGTGGAAAGTACGAGAGTCCTGTTTCCCTTTTCCCTATCTGTAGGGTAATAGTTATAGTAAGCCTCTTCATACGTGTTCCAAGCCTATCGTATAGCTTGCCTATAAAAACAAATACTCCAGTGGTTACTTCAGCAGCAGATTTCACCAGTAGGCAGGTGAAAAAGCCAAGCATACACTAAAACTGTCTCATGGCTTCCTAACACCTGAAGAAGCCCATGGCTGTTATCAGGGCTCCTGCTCCAACCAGCACACAAGAGCCCCAGGTAGATATACAGCGATGACCCATCCTTTGATAATAAATCCTTCACGGTGCCTCCAGACCAAAACCATGGTCCATAAGCAATGACAGCTGACCCGGTCAGCCAAAAGAGCAGGTTGAAGCCAAGCAGTAGGTACTTTTTGCACCGCAGACACTGCAGAGGCGTCCCATGGGGCTCACCGCTCTATCGGGATCCTGAGTCCCCAACCCTGCACTCATGCTGAGAGTTGTGGCAGCCTCTTACAAAAATGTTTATCAGAATAAAGCCTATAATACTGCTTAGTTTTCTTGCTTGTAAAATGAAAGGACTTGCTAGACGGACTTCAGTATTCTCTGATCCCTGATAAATAAGCATAATTCCGTTTATAGTGAGCCTTCTCCACCTAAGTAGATACTGAAAATCTATTTGACACTGTGTTTTAAATATAAAGATCAAATTATTACTTAGTGCCCCTTAGTACTATCTAATTTTAATAGTCACAATAACCCTATGAAGCAAATACTATTATTATTCCAGTTGTACCTGTGAGGAAGCTGAGGCTTACAAAGATTAAGTTGCCCAATGGAACACTAGTAAATTGAGGAGCTCAGGTTAAATCCAGAGATTTAGAGCTTGAAATCTTAACTGCTATGCTTATAGCCTTTCTACACAAATACTCTAGGCTATTTACATACTAAATATGTGAATAAAACTATCTTAATATGGTCTTATTATAGTAAATAGCAGTACTTAACTATCTTATCATGCTTCTGTGTTTCTACTTCACTGTGTAATTTCTTTTTTTCTGAAGAATCAGATTTTTAGAAATTATAGGGACTGCTTTCAAAGTAGAGTGCTGTTTATTATGCATCATTTAGGAAATTTAGCAGAAATTTGATTTATTTGAACATTGGACGGTTCCTTATCATGCATCAAAGAAGGTCACTGGGAAGGTTAAAATATTTCCATTGCACTCATTCTATGACTCCCACTCTCTTTAACTGAACTACTAAAAAACTTGAGGACAAGCTGTTTCCAAAAATGAACCTTTCAACTTCTCTAAATTCAAAAGCTGACTTTTCTAGAACAAACAGTTTGTGCTTGTTAAGTGAGTTGTCAGAGTGAGGTCTTCAGAGATCTGTATTTTTTCTCCTTTGAATAGTCTATTTTTCCAATGGTTTAACCTCTTGAGAACTGGTGTGCTCCATTTCTAGCTCAGAGAATTCTTAATATTGCTGTTTATTTAATCCAGTCCAAAGATTCACCACCTCCTTTTGGTTTATTTTTAGCAAGAGACATGTTGAGATTTAATTTACCTAGTGTGGGGCACGGGGTGTTAATATTTCCACTACTGAGTGCCAGCAGTGTGCTCACTGGGTACTGATATTTCCATTAGAGAAGGCAGTGCTGTCAGAATACCAGAGACCAAGGGCTAAGGTCTGTGGTTCTTGGCAGATGGTTGCTATTTTCTTGAACTCTGATGCACAGGCATAACTTCAACTGCTAATAGCAAGCAGAAATTACCCATGGAATTAAAAGACAGTTCAAGGAAAGTATTCATTTAAAAATAGCAACTCTGAACTGGCATCAGAGCATTACATCAGAAGCTTAAATAAAAATTTGACAAGGTACTAGAACTTGCCATCCCATGTGATGTAAAATTATTATTTTGCGGGAAGAAGAACAGTGCTTAACAGGTGGTGCCTTAGCATCCAAAATCAGTTTCCTTGGAAAAATGTTTCATAAACATGTTTGCATGAAACCACTGTATCTTTTATTATAGAGATCAATTTACACTAAAGGCATTCTTGACTAGCATTTTAAATAGGTAGCATGGAATATTGAAAAGGAGACAGTTAATAACTTCTACATTAGACTAAATAATTAAGTGATGGATGATGGTGTGTCTTTCCCATTCATATATTGAGCACAAATATGTCTATGTGGAAATTGACATGCAATGAATCAAAGAGACTGAATAATAAGTCATAGTGACTATCTCTAAAAAGCAATTTAGAGAAAAAGACTAATGCTAAAGATCACCCCACAATATATTCCATACTATAACCATAGTACTAAGTGCTCTATGTGCCCAAAGGAGAGAGGGACAGATTCTTTCTGAGAAGGTAAGGAAATCTTCACAAAGGAATTGAAGTCTGAATTGAAATATTCATAGCAATTTCCTGAGTGGAGAAGAGAGGAAATGGCATTTTAAGAAGAAAGACTAGCATGTGCATGGTTATAGAGGTTCAGAGAATAGTGAGTAATTTAATACCATATTAGAAGGGAACTGTACCGTGAGACAACACTAGAAAGACAGGTCAGCTTAGGTGTTTTAGGTATTCGTGAGCCGGGTAGTTACTGTGGACTCATTTCTGCGG